GCCAGTGAACTCTGTTTACAGCATGGTAAAGCTTCCCTAGTCCACAGCTCCAGACCCTTCCACATACTCTCCACAAACCAGTTCCCAAGACTTCAGAACTACATGATAGGTTTATCACCCCCTCACAATTTTCTGTATTTCTTCTTGCTGCAGAATACTTGATAACAAAAAAGGAAGGATTTTTTTAGGATCATGGTTTAAGAAGGTATAGTCTGTCATGGTGGGGAAGGGATGGCATGGGGGCAGCTCACTGCTGAGCATTGGGAGCTTGAGTCAACTAGCTGCATCACAACAGTCAGGAAGCAGATATTCTCAGGCCAGTACTGGGCCAGTCTGTAAGGTAAAGCCTGATTGCCACTATGGCCTACAGCCCTACAAATGACAGCTAGGCCCCATTTCCAAAGGTTTCAGAACATATCACACACACATACACACACATATGGTCTATAAGTGAGTGTGTAGAAAACATGTATAAAGACATTAGCCATACTGGGGCTGGAGAGATGGCTCAGTGGTTAAGAACACTAGTTGTTCTTGCAGAAGACCTGGGTTTGAATCCCAGCATCCCCATGGCAGCTAACAACTGTCCGTAACTCCAGTCCCAGGGTTTCCAACAGCCTCTTCTGACCTCCATGGGCATTGAACAAGTATATTTCTATTTCAACCCCCTAATATGATCCATTTTTAAAACAATTATTTTATAGCTGTTTGTGTATTTCTTTAATTCTTCATCCTCTATTCCTTTTGAGATATACCTTTCTGATACACCTCAGTGCCAAACACCTAATAAATCTTAAGAAGTTTGATTGAGTATGAACAAGTTCATGATGTTCCTTTGTTGCTTTCTCATTAAGATGAAGGGAAAGACTAGTTTCAAAGTGTAAAGAAGACATAAAAACTAGATACTGGAATATACAGTATATTCCACAAAGTATTCAGTCTTTTAAGGTTTAGCAAGTTAATGATAACAACCATTTATCTTTGATCTTATACTGAAGACCTAAAATAGTACCTGCTGGCAAAATGGTTCATTTGAGTAAAACCATCAATGAGTGCTGCAGCATTCAGAACACTCCAGCTTTGGGCTTCGGAGAATCCTCAGCACCATGTCCTTTTCCACGGGTCATGTTCTTTTGGCCTATAAAGTGAAAACAAGCTTCTGGTATGTTATAGCAATAACCGCAATTTCATAAAATTCTAAACCAGCATGGTGGTATGTACTTTTAATCCCAGCATTTAGGAGGTAGAGACAGGAGGTAGAGACAAGAGGTTCGGTGTTCAAGGTCATTCTTAGCTATAGTGAGTTTAAGGAGAGTGAGAAACATGAGAATTTGTCTCAAAAACAAATAAAAATGAGAAAGAACGAAATCCAAATATCACCTCATTAGCTGCTGTCATTGTATAACCAAAGCCTCCCTTTGTGCTCCTTATGTACACAGACTTATCTTCATGTTTTTTCCCCTGTGTTCTTAATTTCTTTTTTTAATCTTTTATTTATTTTTTTATTTTATGTGTATGAGCATATTGCCTTGTAGGTATGTAAGTATATAAGTGCACCCGTGTCACACAATGCCTGTGGAAGTCAGAAGAGGATGTTGGATCCCATGAAAATAGAATTATGAAAAGTTGTTAGCCTCAGTGTGGGTGCTGGGAACTGAATTGGGGTCCTCTGCAGGAGCAACCAGTGCTCTTAACCACCTGTTTAACCCTTAGTTTCTTTTCTTATTACTATGCTAAAATACCATGATAAAAGCAGCTCAAGGCAGTTTATTTTTAACTCACAGTTCAAGTGTACAGTCAACTATAACAGGGAAGTGGAGGCAGCATGAGCTTGAAACAATTGGTCATATCACATCCAAAATCCAGAAACACAGAGATTGCATACTGCTGCTCAGATCTTTTTCTAGAATACTTACATAGTCCAGGATCCCAGCCAGGGAATAGTGCCACCCACAGTGGACACATCTCACTTCAATTAATACAATCAAGGTAATTCCCCACAAGCACCCCAGAGGACTACTTCTTGGGTGATTTTAGATTAGGTCAAGTTGTCAACATTAACCATCAAACCCACACTGTCACCTTGTTTTATCTAGAAACTTAGCATCCAGGCAGTCCCTGCCAGAATTATGCATGATATGTGTGTATATACATATAT